CCTCGGAAACCCAAGGAGGGGTCGCTATGAGTCAGGGCTGACTTGACGGCACATAACAACAACAACAACATATCAATATATCAATATTTATATTTATATTTATATTTATATTTATATATCAATGGTTTATATATGTTCTGGTCTATCAGACTGAAAGCTTGGAAAAGAACCACATTGGAAAATTCCCAAATAACCGTCTATCCATGCCCTACTTTATACTCTTTACTCAGTGTTTAAAAGTTATTAAAACATGAGCTAGTGACAGAAAATAACCATTTCAAAACAACTTGAAATATTTTAAAAAATCATGTAAGTATTTCCAAAATCAGAAGTGGCTGAAAACAAATTAGAGAAAAACAAAAAAGAAGATAAAAATTATCCTAAATTCCAGAATATTCTAAAGTCTTTCTTTCCTTTTATGATTAAGATTTTTAAAATAAGTTTTTATTGAGCTATGCTTCACATACAATAAAGTTCACCAATGTAAAGTGTACAATTCAATGTTTTTTAGATTATTCACAGATAGTGCAACCACAATCTACTTTAGAACATTTTCATCACCTTATAAAGAAATCCTATACCCTTTAGTTAGGAGCACTGGTAGTGTAGTTTTCAAGTGCCCACCTGCTCAATGGTTCAAACTCACCAGTTGCTCTGTGGGAGAAAGATGTGGCAATCTCCTTCCATAAAGATTACAGCCTTGGAAACCCTATGGGACAGCCTGACCACAAGGACTGAAATAATGTAAGAATGCCCCACCCCAGGTGGCCTCACTGCAAGGGCTGAAATATCAGCCAAGTTCTTGCTATATCAGAACCTGAAAAACATACCCCTCGGCCAGCATGACACTGCACCACTTACCATGTTAATGAGCCTAATGCATAGTTAATGAGTTCCTGGAAATTCTATAAATAATCATAACTTCCCTATTCCATGTCCTACATCAGCCCTGAAATCCCCAGCTTTGGGAGCTTGATCTGACACACAGTCCCCAAACCCCTTACTCACTAACCTGTAATAAAGCTTCCTTCCTCAGCATCTCAAAGCCTCAAAAACCAAACCCACTGCAACTGAGTCAATTCTGACTCATAGTGACCCTCCTTAGGTTTCCGAGGTGATAAATCTTTATGGAAGTAGATTGCCCAGTCTTGCTTCCACAGAGTGGCTGATCGGTTTGAACCATCAACCTTCTGGTTAGCAGTCAGATGCTGTAGGCAGTGTGCTACCAGAGCTCCTTACCCCAAAGCCTGGTGCCTCCTTATTAATCTGGGAGCTGCATCCAGTGGGAGCCCACCTGTCTGGTTTCACCTGGGTGGTGTAAACTTAATTTTTTTTAAAAAAAATGATGATACAATAAAGATCTATACAAGGTTGTGAAACTTTTCTATGGTTCACAAAATTTACTAGCTATAGTCAGCTCTTCCATAAAACTGAATCTGGCCAGTTTCTTCCATCACTAGACATCTTTCTTCCTTCCTCCCTCTGGCAGAGACTGCCCCCTGCTGCAGGTGCTGGCTGGTGTGGCTGTTGATGAGGACATAGAGGGCTCTCTGCCCTGGATCGTTTCACGGCTCCTGGAAGGAAACAACTATTGTGGCCTACTGCTTCGCCTGGACCCCCAAGGTGCCCCTGAGGAGGGTGTGGACCTCTTTGGAAGCTTTCATATCTGGGCTGAGGTCTGCCTCAGTCTCCCATCCATGCAGCCTGAGTCTCAGCCCTAAGAGAGAGCCTGACCCTCTGGGAAGGCTGGGATGCAGGAAGGCCCCAGAGTGGCTGGAGAGGCAAACCTGATAGTAAAAGCAGCCTCTCTCCCTTCAGAGGCCTTCACCAGCTAAGCAACCCCCTTTCCCCCGACTGCTCCATAATCCCATGAGACCCATCTAATTTACAGATGAGGAAAGGGAGATAGGCCTAATTTGTAAGAAGGGAAAGGGAGAGTCAGAAATGGGAAGGGATTTGCCTAAGGTCACTCTGCCATTAAAAATCGGGCATTTGCGAAATGTTATGATCTCAGGGATTTGCTTCAAAAGAATAAGGTAAAGGTCATGTTGGGGGCATACATCAAACAAGAATAGCCATGAACAAGTAGCAACTGGGATCTTAAAAGCTAGCAAGCTGCCATCTAGATGCAACGATGGGTCTCTCCTTGTCCAAAGGAAAGAATAATGAAGAAAACCAAAATTCATGGAAACAATTAGTCCTAGAGACTGGTACACCATCTGATCTGCAGCCTATATGACTATGAGACCGGAAGAACTAGATGGTGCCCAGCCACCATTGTCATCCACTTGGAAGGGGATCTGTGTAGCAGATCCTTTTTAGAGAGGGAAAACAATGTGGAACAAAACTCAAAATCATTTGGAGAAAAAAAAAGGGGGGGACCAGGTTTGCTGGTCTGATAGAGCCTGGTGGAACCACTGAGACTATGGCCCCTAGCTGCCCTTCAGGTCTGGAATTGAACCCACACCTGTGGTTTCCAGCCAAACAGAAGACAGGCATATGAGTTGAACATTTACCTGAGGTAGATACACTCCTTGGAGAGAGCAATCATTGAGAAAGAAGGGGTGTCTATGCACATGGAGACAGCTTAGGGGGCAGGAGTCCATGGAGGGATGGACACTGGGAAGAGGTAACTATGGGGAGGAAGTGGGAAGGGAGCTGTTGCATTGTAGTAAACTGTGGTCAATGTCATGAGACAAAGTATATGTAAACTGCTATATGGAAAGTGAATTTGCTCTGTAAATCTTCACCCAAATCACAATAATAAAAAAATAATAATAGAAAAAAAAAAGAATAGCCATGAATAGATAATTGCTGAGTCTGGGTGATAGATAGGTGGATTCTTTATTTTGTATATGTTTGAAATTTTCCGTAATAAGAGTTAAAAAAAAAAAAAAAAAAAAGTCAGGCACTCAGACTGACTCCAAAGTCAACAAATACACATTCATGAGGCCAACACTTTCCAGAACTCCCCTTGCACCAGGCTCTACAGAAAGAGGAAGATAACTTGGGGTCATCTGAGCCCTCAGGGATAAATTAGTGGAGGATAGCCAATAAGTATTATCCATAGGCCAATGTGGTATATGATCAAAGACACAGGCTACAGGCTTTAGCATCAGACAGAAGTGGGCTTGAGTTTCAGTTCTGCCACTTTCCAGGAAGTTACTTGACCTCTCTGAGCTTCAGTAGCCTCATCTGGAAAACGCAGGGGGAGGCAGGATAGTTTACAGTTGCTACCTGACGGGACTCCTGAGTGTATAAAAAGGGGCAACCCATAAAAAGCTTTAGCTAAGTGCCATCAAGTACATATAAAAGCCTGATATCCCAAAGCCCACTGCCACTCATAGTGACCTGACATAGGCCGACTCATTGTGACCCTCATAGGGTTACCAAGGTTGTAAATCTTTACGCAAGTCGATTGCCTCATCTTCCTCCCACAGAGCAGCTGGTGGGTTTGAACTGCTGACCTTCTGGTTAGTGGCCAAATGTCTTACCCAATACTCCACAAGAGCTCCTTAAAAGCCTGACGGGTGTTAACTATTGTTATGAATAGTATTATTAATAAAAATGAAAAGTCTTACAGGCAGTGTGCTTTGGATTCCAGAGAAAAGGAATGATCCACTTTGAGTCTCTCTTTACCAGGAATTTCCCCGAGCTTGCTCCAGGCTGCTCTGTTGGGGGCCTCAAGAAGGAGGATGGAGGTAAAAGAGGTGAGGCCCACCCTGTGGGATGCAGTAGAGGAGGCCCGGACCCGCCGGGCTAGCCTGAAGACCCTGCGTTCAGTCCTCCTTGGGGACACCCTGACGGATGATGGGGTCAGTCAGCTAGGCCGGGCACTACGTGAGCTTCAGGTGAGGAAGGTAAGGCCTGGAGACACCGGGGCCAGCAATGGCCAGAGCCTGCCCAGAACCCTGTCTCTGTAGGTAGTAAAAGCCTGGAGCCAGCACCCAGGAAGCCAGATGTTCAAAGAGGCTAAAGTTGAGGCAGTGGGGCTCCCAGAATCACAGGTATGTCTCCTCATCCAATTGCTTAAGAGACCCATGAATATCTGCCTTCCTCTTCTGTATTTACAGAGAGCTATAAGGGTGCCATCAGGAGCTCTAGTAATGCAGTGGTAAGTGCTCAGTTGCTAACCAAAAATTTGGTAGTTCAAACCCACCAGCTGCTCCATAGAAGAAAGATGTGACAATCTGCTTCTCAAAGATTACAGCCTTGACTATCCTATGGGGCAGTTCTACTGTGACTTACAGGAGCTCTATGATTTGGTATGGACTAGACAGCAGTGAGTTTGGTTTGTTTGGTTGTCCCCTTATGCTACATGGCCTCTCCTGTGCAGAGGAGAGCACTGTCTTCCACGATTTGTGACCCAAAAAACCAAAACCCAAACCCACACACCATCAAATGGATTCTGACTCATAGCAACCCTGTAAGACCAGAGGGTTTCTAAGGTTGTAAATCTTTACAGAAGCAGGTCTACCTATTTCACTACCGTCGAGTCGGATCTGACTCATAGTGACCCCTCCTTGGGTTTCTGAGGCAGTATCACTACGGAAGTAGATTTCCCAGCTTTCCTTCTGAGGAGTGGCTGGTGGGTTTGAACCACCAGCCTTCTGGTTAGCAGTGAAATGCCTTAGGCACTACGCTACCAGAGCTCCTTACAGAAGCAGATGGCCTCATTTTTCTCCCATGGAGTGGCTAGTGCATTCAAACTGCCAACTTTTTGGATAGTACCCAAATGTTTTAACCACCATGCCACTAGATCTCTTCATAATTTGTCCCTGGTGGCTGGAACCCTGCCTGTTCAGCCTCTCTTGGCCTTTCTCGTCTTCCCTTTTCAATTACAACTTTTTTTTTTTTTTTTTAACAGCTTTGGGCCTTGGGAATTAGATATGTTAGCCCCCATTTACTGAGCTTGTGCCTGATACAACTCAGTGTTTTATCTCATTTCATGTTCTCTTTCTGAGATTGGGACTTTTATGAGATATATGTTGTGGGTGAGGATGCAGAGGCACAATTGACTGGTCACCTGCCTAAAATCATAGAGCTAAGAAAAGGAGTAGCTGGGATCCCGATCCAATTTCAAAACTGAGTTTAATACACATTGTCCTGGGACAGTGTGTGTAGAATTTGCGTTCTCAGTACCTTCTCAGCAGGTGATGGATCCAGCAGCAAGCCACAGTCCAGACCTCCAGCGGGAGCCCCAAGGTGGGCCTGGGGTTTGAGTGGAGCTGGAGTCTTCTTTTTGTTTAACCTCCTTGAGTAAAATTTTCTTTAACTGTAGGAAGAACAGCAGCTCTAGGACCTGGGTGCCACCAAAAGCATCTGCTCAGGGATACTGAAGAACAGGTAACATCTACCCCAGGGACAACTGGAAGTCATGTGCAGGGTGGGGGGGTTTGCATAGCCCAGTTATTCTGCCTCCTCCTTACCTTCCTCTGACACCAGTGAGAAATATAGAGCTCCCAGCAAATGAAGGACCTGAACGGCTACTGGACCCTAAGGGAGGGGCCTGGGAAGGGGTTGTTTTTCTTTTGGATTGGATTAGGGGTATGAGATCCTCAAGACCTCTATGGCACCTGTTGGTAGAGACAGTCCCTGCTGCCTCCTGAGTCTCTGGCCTGGGTATGGCTCTGGGAGTAGCCCTGGTAAAGGAATTGTGCTGGAAATGTCAGGTTCCATGTCCCAATGTTGTGTGCATGCTGGGGATTGTGGCTGAGCCTAGACTGACCTCACTGGGGCCTGGCAGGCTCCAGATGTGGCCCTGCAGTTCTTCCTGGCCCACGCCAGGAGGCAGAAACTACGAGAGCAGCACCAAACTCGGATCAGAGAAGAGCTAAAGCACCTGAAGCAGGAGGAGGAAGATGTGGCAGGTGACCAGGTCAAAGCCCTAGTGGCCAGAAAGGTGAGGAGGGATCAAGTAGGGAGGATCCTGTGTCAATTGCAACAGACCAGTCTATACCTCTGCCATGGCCCTCATGGCTTTGTGGAGGCCAGATGAGGCAATTCTCTGTTCTAGGTGCTGTGATGTGGCAGAATGAGGGGCTTGTGGGAACAAAGGGGATCTAACCCAGTGTGGGGTTGATCAGAGAATATGGCATCTAAGCTGAGAGCTCTGGTGGCATACTGCCTAAGGCATTTGACTGCTAACCAGAAGGCTGGTGGTTCAAAACACCAGCTACTCCTCAGAAGGAAGACTGGACAATTTACTTCTGCAGAGATACTGCCTTGGAAACCCAAAGAGGGGTCACTATGACTCAGAACTGACTTGACAGCAGCAGTGAGTTTGCTTTTGGTTTTTGGTAAGCTGAGATTTAAAGGACAAACAAATCAGCCACAAGGGCAGTCTGCTCATCACATAGAGACACTAAGTCAGTATCTTATTTGAACAATATAAGAAACATATACAACTTGGGGGTTGGGGAAGCCTGGTCTGAGAGGCTAATACTGTATGTGTTAAGGGTCCAGAGGGAAAAAATGACATGATGGGCCCTGGGAGCCACAAAATGTCAGGTCTCACTAGAACTTGCGAGTGAACAAGAGGCAAGGCTAAAACACAAGGGCCTTGTGTACCATGCATTGGGATTTGGACTTTACCTCAAGGATGATGGTGAACCATTGAAAGGTATGTGTCATCTCAGCTCTATCCCTTAGTAGCATGTGATTTTGGGTAAGTTAAGTCACTCTGTTTCCAAGGCTGTAAAACAGCAACTAACCACATGACTGTTACTGGTTAAAGTGAGATAGTTGAAGTATTTAGCACAGTGCCTAGCACAAAGGCAACATATACCCAAGGCTATGTCTCATCATTGAAGTTCTCAGAGGAGAGATGGCGCCAGGAGCAGACTGTGCTGAGACTCCAGCTAGAGGGCCTTCAGGCAGAGCGGGATGCTGCAGAACAAGACCTGGCAACCCTCTATGAGTTGCATGTGCAGGCCGCCCGAGCTCGGACACGTCACGTGCTACAGGTCATTGGGGACAGAGGGTGGGTCTTGAGCTGGTTCCAAAGCCAGCTGACTGACAGGCATCTGTGAATCTGGGAATAGGTGTTCCGGACCTGGCGGAGGTTGTGGGAGGAGGCGGCTATGACTGCAGAACATCACCACCGCAGCCTATTGGCTAGTGTCCTACAAGATAGCATCAGCCTGGCCACACAGAACCAGGAGCTCCAAGTCCAGAACCAGCAGCTCCACCAGGGTGCAGAGTAGGTGGGGGCAGAAACCTGGTGATCAGGAATCCTTCCTGGGCAACTTCCTCTCCCTCATTCTTGAGGATCCTAGGAGAGGAAGATGCAACACAACCATGAAGCTAACTCTCATCATGGATAATTAATAACACCACTTCCAGGTTTTACTGTGCCAGCCCCAAAGCACTTAGTATCCATCATTTTATTTAACCTTTTCAGCTACCCATAGTAGGTTAAGTACTACCGTTTCATTTTCATTTCAGAGATAAGGCAACTGAAGCTCAGAAAGTAAATGCTCAAGAACAGTTAAGAAAATGGTAGAGCCAGAATTCAAATCCAAGTAGCAGTTCACAAGCTTCAGTATGCATTAGAATCACCTACACCAAGCCAAACAGAAGACCAGTTGCCGTGGTGTTGATGCTGATTCATGGTGACCTCATGTATTTCAGATTAGAAATGTGTTCCACTAGGAACCTTGTTTAAAAATAAATAAAGTGTTCTGGTTACCTAGCGCTGCTCTGACAAGAATATACCACAAATGGGATGGCCTTAACAAACAGGAGTTTATTCTTACAATTTGGAGGCTTTAAGTCCAAGTTCAAAGTGCCAGGCTCTAGGGGCTGGGTTAAAGCCCCTCAACCTTGGGGTCCAGCTCTGTCTCCTGCTCCTGGCCCACTGGAGCTAGAGGCTTTCCTTCATTCAGACAGCTATGGCTGCTGAGGCTGAGAAGCCCCAAGGCTGTCAAGTAAAAAGGCACAGTCCTGATGTTACCAAACCACATGGCAGGCCATTAACTTAAGTCCATTGTAAGTCCCAAGGTCGGCAGAGCATGGCAGGCTGCTGAACAATGACATGGCTACATGCAGGGTCCAAGCGCGCCATAGGCTAGAGACCATTCTCAAAGCTTCTCAGTATATACAGGAAGCAGACCACATACCCAAAGGCAACTACTCAGCTGCTCATAGGAGATTCCACCATGGAGTTGATTACCAGTCTCATCGTAGGGAATATTACATCCAGCTGCTATCCAGTGCAACAAAGAAGACACAGGACAACCATGGCCGATTGTAGGAACCACCCTACATGTCAGAACACTTTATTACCTTATTGCTCACGTAGTTAAAAAGACACTGATTGAGCTATAGAAGTTTCCCTATGCCTGGTCACTCTGCAGAACTTCCCGACTGAGAGGAGCTAGAACACTGCTAAGTAGAGGCAGGACCCAGAGTGGGAGAGATGGTGCCTCATAGGAGCCTGAGAGGGGGTAGTGGACTTCAAGAGGGCCTCATGGGGTGATCAGAGAGGCCAGGAGCGTAAGCTTAAGCCAGGGCCCAGGGGTAACATTCCCTGAGATGAGTCAAGCCCCAGCCCTCTCTCGGGTTTCCAGGAAAAAGGCTGGGTGTGGGGAACAGCACAGTGGAGGGAGCAGCGCTATGTCATCAAGGTGCTGCTGGAGCAGGAGGTGGCAGAGAGGCCCAGGTTGACTATAATCTGTGGTGACTGGGTCTTCCTGCATGACAGCACGGGGCGGAATATCCCTTATAAGGAAGTCATGCACCATGGCTAGGCTGGAGCAGCCAGCGTCAGGCAAGGGAACATGGGAGTCTGCTGGGGTGACCACAGTAGGCAAGGACCACCTGTCTCCTAGCCCTCTTTATGCAACTGTACTAATGCAGGATGATCAGGAAGCCTCCTCCATTAGGTATGGGGTCTTTTCTCAGGCCTAGATATAGATGTTCCCATAATTATTTAGTCTGGAACAACTTGGTCAGGGGGGTGGTTTATGAGTTTCCTTATCCAAACACACTTTTCAAGTCTCCTTCATTTACCCACCTCTAGAGACTGATTTGGCTGGTCCCTCTTTCCTAGCTCTTCTCACAAGGCACTTGGTACAAGGTTGCTGAGGGGAGGAGAGGGCTGGGGAGTGGCTGATGGTGGCAACCAATCTACAGGGTCAGGAGTCAGGGTGGAGGTGGTTAGGGTTAGCGGCTGCCATAGTAGAGGCGCACAGCCAGGGCAATGAGCAGTGTGGCCAGGAAGAAGGTGGCTGTGAGCCGCAGCCGCAGCAGGGCCGCTGAAAGCACAGCATTGACCACCAGTGAGCAGGACACAACAAAGAGGCGCGTGATGCTGCTACTGTGCTTCATGACAGCTGACATGAGCAGTCCATTTAGTGCCTGGCTCAGCACCACGAGTGCTGCCCATCCCGAGAAGCCCTCCAAGAGGCCTGGACCAGGGCCACTGCCTGCATGCAGACCTAGGTTCAGGAGGACACCGAAAGTGTAGAGGAAGAAGTTCTGAAGTGCCAAGGGCAGCCGCTGTCGCTTCATGAGCATCTCTGTGTACACGGATGACAAGCCTGAGATGAGGCAGTATAGGACGAGGAGGAGCAGTCCCAGTGGAGTGATGTGCAGGGGCATGGGGCCAGGAGCAGCTGCTGGAGGGGATCCAGGAAGGGTGTTCCGGGGGTCCTGGAGGCCACCAGCTGCATAGCAGGCCCCCGCTACCATCAGCAGAAGCAGTGCTAACCCCTGGCGTGCGGAGAGGCGGTGCCGGAGGCAGAGGCAGTAGAATAGAGCTGTACTTCCAATCTTGAGATTGCTCAGCACCTGGTACGTGCTAGGGTCCATGTAACGTTGAAGGTAGATCACCAGGTTGTTGTTAGCTCCATAGAGCAGGGCTGACAGTGCAAAGGGGGCAGCCTGGCGCCAGGGTGGGGCCCCCTGGGGCCATGCTTGCCAACCCACCAGGAGGGTGAAGGCGCATAACAGCAGCTTGGTCAGTTCAGTCAGCAGCACGGCTGAGGAGGGCCGGAAGGGCACTCGGCCGTCTACATGGCACAGTGCCAGCAATGGGGCATGGGCACCATACATGGCAGTGCACAGGAGTAGCATCAGGGTCCAACGGGCCTGCCTGGGACGGCCTAAGCCTGGCAAACCCCCGTCCTCTACACTCATGCCCACACCAGATGCAGGGTGGCTTGTGTAGCAAGGGGCAGCAGGAGGACTGTAACACGTCTGAGGAAAATCAAGTTACGGAGCCAGCTCTCAGGAAGGAGGAGCTGTGGTACATGGCCAGAGAGAACACTGAGGATCAGAGTCAGCTGCAAACTCCACCGTGAAGGCTAGAAGAGGAAGGAGCTGGTGGGCCTTGAAGCCACAGTCCTGGGGCCAGTTTTGTGAGGTCAGGGAGGGAAGGAGTCAAGGATACAGGCTGACCAGCCACTGTCCACCCTCTTCAGGAAGGGAATCAAGGATGAGGGTGGCAGCAAGGGTGGAGACAGCAAATGGGTGACAGCCAGGGAAGTGAGATATGGTGTCTGTGGTTGAAAGGCCTCCACCTGCAGGACCCAGCTGTTCATCCTGTCTCCCCCATGGGATCCAGAGCTAGTTGGGCCCCTTGCGCAGTGACCGCAGATAGTCCCTCAATGTCTTCTCCACGTTAGGCACAGCATATGTCTGGGCTGCGTAGATGCCAGTGCAAGTGCCCACAGCAAAGCCCAATACTGCTGATGCCCTTAGTTTGGCCACCACATAGCCAGCCAGGAAGCCCTTGAGGAATGGGGAGGATAGAAGTGAGCCATCCTATGGAAGAAAACACAGGAGGAAACTCAGCCAAACTCTCCCCCTTCTCTACCCAAGAGCTACTCAAGCTGGGCATAGAGTATTCTACCACCTGCTCTCCTTTACTCTGGACATCTCTGGTAGTTAAGATTTTTCTCAAGGTTCTGGAGCCAGAAACAGAACCTAGGAGTCCTGATCACACAATGTCAGAACGCTGGGATCAGAAGGCTCCAACTACAGAATCACAAGGCCATAGAGATGCCTTTGAGGAATCTGACCTGATCCTTGCCTGCTTCTTCATCCTCATTTCCTATTTCCTCACTTCCCCATGACTCCAGCCAAAGTGACCTCCTTTCACCCCCTCATGGCCATCATGCTACCTCTAACTCACAAGGGATCTACATATGCTGTTCCATCTCCTTGCAATGTTCTTTCCTTCCCTCTTTATCTAGGTTAACCTCTACGTAAACTTAAAATCCCAGCTCAAGTGCCATTTTCACAGAAAACTTTCTTTAGTGTCACTGAGAACATGTTCTCAATAACCATTCAACACTCTCAAAGGCATGATGGGCAATGAAGCTTAAGCGTGAGGGAGATGGCCCCTACCTGGCCCATGCCATTGTTCACTTCGTCTTCTACACGCCGCTGCAGGTGCTCCAGCTGATTCTTGAGAAATGCCAGATCCTTAAGCTTGGGCAGAGAATCCTAGGACAAAGGGAAAGGCTGGCTCTAATAGATGACCCAATCTTATCCTCTCTCAATTCTATTTGAGGTTGTGGAAAGGGGAGGTGAAGAGGATGGGATGAGCCTGAGAAACCTCTTCCTATAAAACTTTCCTGAGATGGCAGCAGTAGAGGAAGAAAGGCATTGAAGAGCACAGGATTCACATGGGGGACATGGAGGGAGTGATAAGATCTGTATCAGTAATTTACAACAGCTACTTGTATACAGCAAGCAGTGTGTTGGGGAGGGAGGAGGAACAGCAAGGGGACCTCCAGTTAGGTGTCTCAGAAAAGAACTATTTTAACTAGATTAGGAGCTCCCTGAAAGCGCCAACCAGTATGTCTTTACTGTGTCCTCAGTCCCTGGCATTAAACGACTACTTAGTAAATATACGGGTGGTATTAAGCAATTCCCTGAACAATATAGGGGTAAACCTGGTTTCTTCCTGGGTTTCTCTGCTTCCTACTCCCCAACCCCGCAGGCCATCACAATAGGAATTCATGAGTGACTGGAGAGGGGGTATGATTGCCAAGAGTCTGAGTAAACGAAGAGATTTTGATATAAGTATGCTACTCAGTTTGTGCCCAAAAGAGTGTCTGAATAGGGCTGTAAGTGTCTGTGTGGCTTGGAAACATCGTGTCTTTAGGAGGAAATTTTCGGAAGCCAGGGAGTGGGGAAAAGTGTGAGACCGTGCACCACTGCAAGAAAGTGTGAAGGATATGAGTGCGTCTAAGGCGTGTATTAGGATGAATGTATTTTTAAGTGTGTGCAACTAACAGGATGGTGATGATCCCTCGAACCGGCCACCTGGGGGATCCCGGGCTCCGCCAGCCCCACGCTCCCTTCCCCCACTATTGAGGCAGGCAATAAGGGCGAAAGTCTAGGGGAAAACAAGAAAATCCCAGGACAAACAAGAAGCACCTCCACCGCTGGGCCGCTTCAGTGTCGCTTCTTCCAAGGACCAAAAATGGTCTCGGAGTTTGAAAACTGCCCCCGACTTCGCAGCCCCTACACATTCACTCACCTTGTCATCCGCCATCTTCCCCGCCGAACTTGTTGCGCACGCGCAGCACCGCCTCTTTCCATGCCAAGTGGTACGGCCATCTTTACTGAGGGCAGAGCCACTTCCGTAGTATCTTTAGAAAGGGTGGTGGCGTTTCCCTGGGCAGCGGAGCCCTGGCGGCCTCCTAAGCACAGATACTCCCACATGACCCATTGGGTCCCAGACGGCATGTGCGCGCGCTTACCACGCGGGCACAGTGATCTCACTCGGGTGCGTGTGCGCGCGTAGCACGTTCGCCCTTCTGGTCTTCCGCCGCTTGATGAGCTCACAGTTGCGCCGTGGTGTCAGTGAGCTCGCTGGCGTTCCCGGCCTCCGCCAGCCCCACGCACGTAGACACTCACCCACTCAGGGATCCAAACGCCTGTTTACACGCGCCACCTCTGGTCGGGCAGCGTTGCACAGGCCCGCCCCTTCTAGCTCCTGGGACCCTGCCCTGCCCCGTGTTTGTGCGGCACCGGCTGGCCGGGCTGTCTCCGGCGCAGAGAGGCAGGGCTTGTAGGCGCAGCAGCTTCAGAGATCGCGCTGGGCTGAGAGTGCGGGCCGGCTTAGGCCGGCGGGGACGCGGTCGGGGCCATGCTGGGCAAGGATTACATGCTGGCCATCATTCTGGTCAACTGCGATGGTGTGCATTGAGGGATCCGGTGGGAGGATCAGGAGCTAAAGGGGGTCGAGGAAGCGCGAAAGGCTACCGGAGGCTCGAAGACCTGGGGCACGTCTCAGGATGAGAACCAGGGAACAAATGAACCCTGATCTTTGCACCGTGATCTCTCCAAGATTGGAGAGCCTAGACCCTCAGTCTGGACCTCCAGTCCAAGCTGCCTTCTTTGGAATAGAGGGTTATGGCAGGGTGTTATTCTGAGCCCACGAATAATATATTCCCCCGTTCTGTATTCCTGTAGATGACTTATGGGGAGACCAGAGTCTGGAGGGGGAACCAGGCCTGCCTCCTGGCTGGAGGAAGATCCACGATGCTGCGGGTACTTACTATTGGCATGTACCCAGTGGTAGCACCCAGTGGCAGCGCCCGACCTGGGAGCTAGGAGAAACAGAGGACCCAGGCAAGGTAGGTGGAGTGTGAGGAGGAGGCCTGATCCGGTGTATGGACCTAGGCCTGCTGTTGGACTGACCTAACCCCCTCTCCACAGGGGACTGAGAGGGTTTGGGGACTCCGGCCCCCTAAAGGGAGATCCTTTTCCAGCCTGGAGAGCTCACTGGATCAGAGGTAACAGAGATAGGGCAGAAGAAGTGAAAGACTTGGGGTTCCATGGCACTCAAAAGTAACAACTGGGCTTGTGGTCTGCTTGTCAGTCCAGCTTTTGGGCTCTGTCCTATGTTTCAGACTCTGCTCTGTGTTTTTGGCTGTGCTTTGTGTTCTCCGCTGTTTTAGTGTTGTGAGTTTTATCCCTTATTCCAAGCTGTCTTGTCCATATTTTGGGTCCTTATCCATCATATTCTAGATCTTGGTCATTGTCCTAAGCTCTTTCATTGGGGTTCCTGTGCTGTTCTAGGGTCTCTTGTCTTGATTTGGGGCTTTGGTTTACATATTAGACCCATTTTCCTGTTGGCAACTCCTGTTCTATGGCATGCTTTTTTAGTATTTTTTGCCATATGGCCTAAATCCTCGCAACTTATATATAACATTTTACATTTTCCTAATACCTCCTGGGCCTTGTCTCACCGTGTGTTCACTCCAGCAGTGTGCGCTTCTCCAGTGCCCTTGTAGGAAGTATAGTTCTCTCACCAGCTCTGCTTTGTTCCAGTAACTCCCTGTCCTGGTATGGTGAAGAATCCTACATCCAAAGCATGGAGCCAGGGGCTAAGGTAGTGACTAGGTCCTGAGGGCTGGGCCAGAGCATTGGAATGGTCCCAGGGGAAAGGTCAGGGGTGTGATTGGGCTGAGCAGAGTTGGTGAAGGGTTAAAGGAAGAGGCCTCGGTGTTTATACATGTGGGGCCTGTGGCACTACCCATTCCACCCTTATTCAGGGTCCTCCTGTCCATTCCTCCTACCTATTAGTGCTTTGCAGTCCGCTCTCTGGGCTGGGTAGAGGTACCTGAGGAGGATCTGGCACCAGGGAAGAGCAGCATTGCGGTCAATAACTGTATCCAACAGCTGGCCCAGACCTGCAGCCGGAGCCAGCCTCCAGATGGTGCTTGGGGTGAGGTGAGCTGGTTTGACCCTCCAGAGGTTCAGTCCTGGACCCAGGAGAGGCCCTGAATTGCCTGGCCCCTGTGGCACCCACCTTCATTTGAGCTCTGGGCTGACCTTTGTCCTTGGCAGGGCCAGAACATGCTGATGATCTTAAAGAAGGATGCCATGAGTCTAGTGAATCCTTTGGACCACAGTCTGATCCACTGCCAGCCTCTGGTGCACATCCGTGTATGGGGTGTGGGCAGCTCCAAGGGCCGGTGAGGGCCTCTACACTCCCCCAAAGCAAGGGCTGTTCTGTGCCCCTGCAGCCTGTGATCCCCACTGATGCTCATCCCCTGTACTTGAAACCCTGGACACAGATTCTCTGTCATGAACCCAAGCACTGCCTCCCCTACCTGGTTCAACCCTGGTGGGGAAGGGTGGGCCCAGCTCAGCAGGGACAGACTGGGGAGAGCCTGAGTGGCTGGGCTGACTCTCTCCTGTGCTCCCACATGCTTCTGGAACAGTGATAGGTGAGTGACAGCCAGGTGTCCTGAGCCCCCGCCCTGACCTCCCTGCTCCATCCCTGCCATATCCCTCACCTGTAGGCACTACAGGCCCCTTCCCAACCCACCCCCTATTCTAGTCCCATCTCTGTCTCAGCCCAATCTCTGACCTTGCCAGGGACTTCGCTTTTGTGGCGGGTGACAAAGATAGCTGTATGCTCAAGTGCCATGTGTTTCGCTGTGATGTCCCTGCCAAGGCCATTGCCAGTGCCCTGCATGGACTCTGTGCCCAGGTAAGACCGGGGTGTGGCAGGCATTGTGGGTATGGCACTGAGTCTGAAGCTTCCAAGGTTGTTGGGGCAGTGTGGCATTGGTCCTCTCACCTCAGTTCCCCTCCATCCCTGTGGCTTATGCTTAGCTGCATTGTGTTTTAGATCTTGTCAGAGCAAGTAGCGGTCAGTGGTGATGCTCCTTGCTGCTCCCCGGATCCCATCTCCCCTGAAGACCTGCCACGGCAAGGTATGGGAGCTGTTGCATTGCAGCATCAGGGGCTGCTTTCGTGAAACATGCAGAGCAGTGTGTTTCAGGTTCTTTAGCACCTCCCTGGAGATGTGGGACTGCTGAGGTATTCTGATCTTAGGAATTTCAAGCCCTGAATTAAAGGAGGAACCTCAGTGGTCCTTCCTTCCACTAGTGCTAGTTCTGGCCTGGGCCCTGCCCCACTCTGAAGGGTGGAGGAGGGAGTGACTGTGAGAGTGCCCAGGCCAACTTGGTATGTATATTCCAGTGGAGCTGCTGGATGCAGTGAGCCAGGCTGCTCAGAAGTATGAGGCACTGTACGTGGGGACCCTACCAGTCACCAAAGCCATGGGTGAGGACTGAGGGGGCTGGGAGAAGTGGGTAAGGAGAAGGTGGGGGAGGTGGGGTCTTCTCCCATTTCAAAGTATTTCCATGGCTCAGTGTGGCCTGGGATGTACCAGCTGTCTCAACTTAGGATTCTAAACCCAGCCCCTACTGCCCTCTTTCCATCTCTCTGAATCCCAAGTCAGTGAGAAGGGCCTAGACATTCCTTGCAGATACTTTCTTTCCTTATGGCTGGGAGATACCATAGGGGGCATGTTCTTCTAGGAATGGATGTGCTGAATGAGGCCATTGGTACTTTGACTGCCCGGGGTGACCGGGATGCCTGGGTTCCCACCATGCTCAGTGTGTCTGACTCTCTTATGACTGCACATCCCATTCAGGTACCAGAAGAGGGTGAGGTTGGATGCTGTGGAGGAGTGGGCAGGGGTGCTGAAGGGTCACTGCTTGCTATTAGAACCCAGTGGGTCTGGCTAGTGCTCGGCTCTCTGTTGACTGGGTCTGGTGTGGGCAGGCAGAGGCTGGTGCAGAGGAGGAGCCACTGTGGCAGTGTCCTGTGCGCCTTGTGACCTTCATTGGTGTTGGCCACGACCCACACACCTTTGGCCTCATTGCTGACCTGGGCTGTCAGAGCTTCCAGTGTGCAGCCTTCTGGTGCCAGCCCCATGCAGGGGCACTCTCTGAAGCTGTACAGGCTGCCTGCATGGTGAGTTGGGATGGGAGCAGGGGGTGGGGTAGCCCTGTAGCTGCTCTGTACTGGTGATAGGGCTCAGGATTGGCAGCCTCTCCAGAGATCACAAACCAGCAATCCCAAAGCTGACTCTGGCTCATTAGTATTTTATGTGGCCCTCACAGTTTTTGACAAGTTTTAATTAGTTGTTAATATTTAAAGGTTGGGACATTTCACATAATAACGGCTCTTCCTGTTTTTCTTAAAATATCAGTAGCTCTGGTACTGACTCCACCTATAGCTGAAGTTGTGGAGAGGCTTCACACTGTCTTTCCTGTTTGTCTTATTTAGGTTACTTTCTGGCATCTGTGAGGATTTGAATGTGGAACACTTGTATTCTGTTAGCTTAGTTTGTTTATTCAACAAATATGAATGCCTACAGGATACCAAACACCATACTTAATCCTGGCCATTCAGTGTTAGAGAGGGCACAGCCCTCACAGAACACTTGGGATAGAGTAGAGACAGACCAGAAGGAAAGTGTACACTGCAGGACGATCAAGGAGAGGTTAGCCCAGCTTTACAGGTTCAGGAAGGCTGCCAGAAAGAGATGATGGAAAAACTGATAGTTGAAGGTCCAAGAAGGAGTTAGCCAGGTGCAGGGGAGTGGGTCAGAAACCCTAGCTGTGGAGGTAAGAGGGAGTTTGGTGGCTTAGAGAATCAAAGAATCTAGTGTATCGAGTACAGGATGTAGTGAGAGATGAGGACAGAAAGAATGGCAGAAACAAGGTCATGGAGGATCTTATAGGTCAGGGTAATGAGTTTATTTTATTCCGAGGGTGGTGGGAGCTATTGATGCATTTAGAGCAGCACAAGGAAGTCACGTTTGTGGATGAGGATCACATAAGCTATATTATAGATAGAAGACTTGGAGGACATAAGAGAGGAGGTAGAAAGGCCAATTAGGGACCTGTTTAGGTAGTTCAAATGAGACATGATTAGAAAAGTTGCAGAGAATGGAGTTTGGGTTGTAAGCCCTACCCTTGACTAGTGATTCTGCTTTGCCAGGGGCCAGTCTAAACCAGTGAGAGCTAGAGGAGAGGTAGCATAGCTGTAGTTGTGGTTAAGAGCGTGGGTTCTAGAGTCAGACAGACCTAGGGTTGAATCTCAGTTCTACCACCTTCTAGCTAAGTGACCTTCAGCAAGCCATTTACAGTCTCTGAATCCCAGTTTCATCAGTTGGAATAACACCCCATAAATAACTGGATTAAGTTAGATTTTGTAAAACAGTTGGTGCCGTGTCAGCTGCCCTAAGTGCTCAGTAAATGTCAAATTTTATGTTTTTCTTATTGAGCTACCTGGGAATGCTATAGGTTCCAATGTGGCAGGCTACCAGTCTCATGAGAGTGAAGCCTTGGCCAGTTCCCTGTCCTGCCGTAGCTTTCAGGGAGTCCAGGGGCAGAAAATAGCTGGATCTTCACATTCCACTTCTCCCTAGGTTCAGTACCAGAAGTGTCTTGTGGCCTCTGCAGCTCGGGGCAAGGCCTGGGGTGCCCAGGCCCGTGCCCGCCTGCGGCTCAAGCGGACCAGCTCCATGGACTCCCCAGGAGGTCCCCTGCCTCGTCCCCTGCTCAAAGGAGGTGTTGGGGGTGCAGGAGCAGCCCCTCGAAAACGGGGTGTCTTCTCTTTTCTCGATGCCTTCCGGCTGAAACCCTCTCTGCTTCATATGCCCTAAATTTATCTGGGAGGACTGGAGAAGGAGGTTCTGGGTCCATACCCACTTCTATACTCCTTCATTCCTCAGGGGCTTGTAGCCTCTCATCCCTTGGAACCTTCTCTGCCTATTCCTTTGGTCTTTGCTTACCCTCTTATTTATTGCCCAATTTATTAACTTTATATGGATGATGGAGAGGCCCTGTACCACAACCTAGGCCCCTGGCTTCCCTTTCCCTGGATCCCTGTTTCCCTTGCCCCTGTCCAGGCCTGGACAGTTGGCTCTACCTCAGCAACACTTTATAGCAAAATCAGTGCAAATAAAATCCCTCAGTGACCTCACTGGGTGTGAGTATATTGGGCATGGGACCAGGGTTGGGAGCAAACAACCTGCATGAGGTGTGTGTGTGTGTGTGTTTGTTATTTACTGCTGTCTGGAGTCACATGAGGGCATGAGTGTGATGGAAAATTGGCTTCATTCATTCAACAAACAGAATAAGGTCTTCTCTGTCAGGCACTGGAGATATTAATAATAGAGACGCCCCCCACACACACACCCTCTGTGACTGTCAAGCGAGGGAGACAATAAAGTTAAACCAGATAGAAGGTATTATGTAGTACAGCTAGGAAATCTCAGGGTTTTAGGAACTTAGGTGAGACACTTAACCTTGCGTGAGGCATTATAGATGGCTTCCTGAGTACTGAAGGAAGATGAATACTAGTTAGCAAGCCTACAGAGTATGTGGGGAGTGTGCAGGACAGTGGACAGAGATGAGTTTCTGAAAGTCGTCTTGGCTACATCGCAGCGTGGCATGCGAGGGCCTGGATTTTCTGGTGATTTGCGCTTGCTCCTGAGAGCAACCTGGAGACACTGACTTGGACCCAGAGAGAACCAAGATTCCTACAGCGCTGGCTCCTTGAAAACGGTCCCACTTGAGACCGGGGCTCCGACAAAGCAGAAATTTCGAACTGCTTAGCTGGATGGCGCAGAGTCCCATAGCTGTTCCCGCGTTTCAGTGTAACTGCCGGACTTCCGAGGATCCCGTCGGCCCCAGCACTTTACCTAGCCCGGGATGCGTCCAGAGTGGCTTGGGTGTGCGGCCGCCCCGGAAGTGACGTACTGCCCCGCTGGCCGTGCGGAAGTGGAGATGGCGGAGCTGTACGTGAAGCCGGGTGAGAGAGCTGTCGGTGGGCTGGGGGCCGTTACAGTGCGGGGTGCAGAGCCTCCGACTCCCCTAACCCCAGCGTAGCCCGCTGGAGCTCTTGTTTCGCTTCACACGTCCCCTCTCTTTCTCAGGCAACAAGGAGCGCGGCTGGAACGACCCGCCGCAGTTTTCTTACGGGCTGCAGACCCAGGCTGTGGGGTCCAAGCGCACGCCGCTCACTAAAAGGGTCGCCGCTTCCCAGGATGGATCCCCCAGAGGTGCGTGGAGACTCGTTGGGGCTGGGAAGTGTCGCGGATAAGCCTATTGGGAGGGACTTTTCTCTCCTCCAGTTTCTGGGGGGAGAGTGGGTGGAGGCTCCCAAAAGGGGCTCAGGAAAGGCCGTTTTCCAAGTCTGTTCTCCAATGGCAACGGCAGTAACTGGTGTGTTGGTTTCAAAAGACACTATATAGGACCATTTTAAGTCATCTACTCTAGACTTATGGCTTTAAATATAGTTTTTATTTCAAATTTTTATGTCGAATCTGGGCCTCTTCCAGAACTTCACAATATGTCTGTTTTGTCTATTCTGTATCTTCACTTGGATATATATGATAAGCGTCTCAGACTCGACGTGTCATTCACTCATTCATTTAATCAGTATGTCTAATGAGCACCTATTACGAGCCAGGCAACGTCTGAGGGTAGACAATAGTGAACAAGACCAAGGGTTTCTACTTTCACGGAACGCACACTCCAGTGTTGGATACAGACAAATGAAATAGTGGTAAGTGTTATGCAGAGAAATGAAACAGGATGATATGATAGTGACTGGGTAATTAAAGTCCTACGGTTGACATTTAAGCTGAAATCTGAATTATATGATTAATTATGTAGTTGTTAGTTCCTGTCTAATTAATCCTGACTCATAGCAACCTTGTGTACAACAGAATGAAACACTACCCAGTCCTGCACCATCCTCATAATTGTTGCTATGCTTGAGCCCACCCTTGCAGCCACTGTTATCAGTCCATCTTGTTGAAGGTCTAACCCTTTTTCGCTGATTAAAAGCTAGCCACACAAAAAATCAAGTGTGAGAGTATTCCACAGGAAACAGGGCAAAGACCCTGAGATGAGAACAAGTCTGGCAGTTTCAGAGATTGAAAAAATACCAATGTGGCAAGAGCATAGTGGGCTAGGAAAGAGTGAGATAAGGTCTGGGACACAACATTAGAGCTGAGTGGATTTTGTAAACCAAGATGAGAAGTTTGTATTTTAATTTAGGTAAATTTGAAAGTCTTTGAAAAATTTAGAGGGTCATTTTCCTTCTGAGGATTTCCTAGGCAAAGGGGGTTTGTGCCCTGCCAAAATGAGCTCAGAATTGGCTCTTTTCAGTACCCCTTCCATTCTTCTCATACTTTTCCACCACAAAACAATGATGTAAACACCAGCGTCTCTTAACTTCTGTACTATTGACATTTTGGACCACGTAATTCATTGTTGTGGAGACTGTCTTGTGCACTACAGAAAGTTTAGCAGCAAACCTGGCCTCAGTAGATGCCAGTAGCAGTTCCCTCCGGAAGTTGTGATAGCTAAAAATATCTCCAGATTTTGCCAAATGTCCAGTGGGGACAAAATCTCAGCAGGTTGAGAACCACTGACTGATTTACATCTTAAAAAGGTCAATGTCTGCCATGTGGAAAACAGAAGTTAGGGAAGTAGACAAACCAAGAGACCACTGTGGTAATGTAGGCAATATTTGATGATGGCTTGGACAAGGATGGGAGTTGTGGGTGGGGGTGGTAAGAATTGGAATATGTTAGGAAGTGAGGGAAAGTGGAATCAAGGCTAACCTTTAAATGTTTGGCTTGAAGAAGTTGCTGGCATTCATTGATATGGGTAGACTGAGTGATGAAGAGGTTTTGTGGGAAGGGGGAAACCAACCTTTCTGTTTGGCCAAATTATGTTTGGGCTGCCACTTTGGGAAGAGATCTAGGCCAGAATTACAGAAATGAGTTACCATCATATAGATAGTATTGGATATCAATGGGCTTGAATGAAGCTACTTAGAGAGAGTAGAGTAGACGTGAGCAAAGGAAACTGAGGAATGGGCAAAGAAGTAAAAGACAAATAAACCAAAATCAAACTATCAAGTCAATTCCAACTCTTAGCGACCCCCTTTGGGTTTCCAAGGTGGTAAATCTTTATGGAAGTAGATTGCCTAGTCTTTCAGTGGAGTGGCTGATGAGTTTGAACAACCAACCTTTTGGTTAGTGGTCATATGCCTTGGGCACTACACCACCATTTGTTGTTGTTATATGCCGTCGAGTCGGACCCGACTCATAGCGCCCCCTCCTTGGGTTTCCGAGGCAGGATCACTATGGAAGTAGATTGCCCCATCTTCCTTCCGAGGAGTGGCTGGTGGGTTTGAACCGCCAGCCTTCTGGTTAGCAGTCAAGTGCCTTAGGCACTACACTACCAGAGCTCCCTACACCACCATAGGAGAGTAAAATGATGAACCAGTTATGATAAAGGTTGAGAAGTAAGATATAAAAGACCACCAAATTTGACAACATAGCAATCACTGGTATCCTTTAACAAGAGCAGTCTCTGGAGTAGTGAGGACAGATACCTAGGTGTTAATAATTTCCAACCACACAGGCTTCATTTCTGTTCCTTACGTAAGTCAAGACCTTCCCTGCTTCTTGGGTGCTGTCCTTAGAGTTCCTTCTGCCTAGCACACTATTCTTTCAATTCTTCATGGCTGCATCTACCTTATCCATTAGTTCTCAACTTTATAGTTGAGACTATGTGGACACTTTTTGCTACACATTAATCTAGGAACTATACCCTATATTCTTACTTAATCCTTACAGTAACCCTGTGGAATTGTGCTATAAGCTTATCTCTGTTTTACAAAAGAGGAAACCAAGCTCAGAGGTTAGTATCTTAGTACAGGTCACACACTTGGTGAGCTGGGAGAAACATATATGTCACCTCAGAAAGCCTCCCCTGAATATTTGGTCTGTCACATCACCATTTTATATCTTTGTAGCAAATAACATATACTTGTATTGTCTACTTTAGGATGAATTTAGAGTTGAGCTTCTTACCCCTTTAAGCTGTGTTGCTTGATCCTGCTTTACACCTTTTCAGTCCCTGCCTCAGAGACTACTCCTGGGCCCCCTGCAACGGGACTTCCACCTCCTTCAAATAAGGCTCCCAGGCCCCCACCTAAAGGAAGTTGTTCTACCTATAGTGTGGAGCCTACAAGCTCCCCAGTCATTGAGTCTGAGACTCTGCTAGAGGATGTGCTGAGACCTTTGGAACAGGCATTGGAAGACTGCCGTGGGAAAGTGAGGGTAAGCTCAGTGGGGCCTCTGACCCTGGTACACCATGTGGTGGTGGGGAGGACTCCCACTGACAGCTGCATGCAGTATAGCTCCCAAAGGTAGACACTCTGACCTTATGGGCCATGGCTCTTACCCCATTTTTGACAAACCCAGGATTTAAGGAGGGTTTGTGGGACTTTTGAACACCAACACCAGGCAGTAGAAGAGGCTTATGGGAACAAGTTGAATTTAAGTCCCATTGTGACTGTAACAGCCTGATTTTTTGTATCTCTAGAGTAGACTTTTTGTATACTTTTTGTTATTTCCAGGGTAGACTCTGCTGATTTTCTGCTCAGGGAATTTCTATATCAACCCAATAAAGGAGGGAGAGGGAAATCCTCTTTTATCTATATTTATACTGAATTCATAAGTAAATTCTCTGAAGGCAATGGATCTGAGATGTCTTCAGAGGGAAGTAGCATGGTTATATCACCTCTTTGGTCCTAAGTTTCCTTTTTTATAAAGTGACACCACAGGGTGAACCTGTTGAGGGTTTGAGAAGCTCCAGAAAATTTAAAATTCCAGCCATACATGCATTTTTCTTAGGGAGAAATCCATAGGTTTCCTCAGATCCTCAGAGGGGCTGTTGACTTTTGTGTAAAGAACCAGAGCCATAAGGACTAAGTATAAAGTTCCTGTGCCAGAGCGCTAGTGCTTCCTATGTGATGCTGCCTTTCTCCTCCCCTTGTTGGGCAGGCAGCACTGACTTGGAGAAGGGTGTTCTCTCTCAGAAACAGGTATGTGATGACATCAGCCGACGCCTGGCACTGCTGCAGGAACAGTGGGCTGGAGGGAAGCTGTCAATGCCTGTAAAGAAGAGGATGGCTCTACTGGTGCAAGGTATGGGTAGGTCCTGCCATTGTTGGCCGAGCTGGAACAGGTGCTGAGCTTTTGGGTGACTGGGAGGGGAGGTGAGCTGCCTTTTTTGCCCCAGGCAGCTTACTTAGCCCTAATCTTTCCTCAGAGCTTTTAAGTCACCAGTGGGATGCAGCAGACGACATCCACCGCTCACTCATGGTCGACCATGTGACTGAGGTCAGTCAGTGGATGGTGGGAATTAAGAGATTAATTGCAGAAAAGAAGACTTTGTCTTCAGAGGAGGAAGCCACTGAAGAGAAATCTGCAGCTACAACTGAAGAAAGCCAGACTGTACCAGGCTTCCTTGGGGCTCTATAATCCTGTGGGTTCTCTGGATTTGTCTCACACCATCTCCAATGCCTTGGCCTTCTCTCACTTGGCTCCCTCTTACCACCAGGGAGACTGTCTGCTCCATTGGGATCTGTGATGTGACCTATCTCTGGGGGAAGAGGTCCCACACAGGCCACAGGGAGGCCACTTGTCACCCAGAGCATATGCATTTCAATAAAAAGATCTCAATGGTGGGCCCTGGGTAGGAGTAGTAAGCCCTTCCTATACAAAACTGGTCCCCTCTGGTGTCCTTAACTGCCCAGCTCCTTGAAAATCTCTGTTCTCTTACCTCCATTCATCATGAAGAGCTCTGTTGGGTATGATTGCTGCCTGCTGCTTTCCCCAAAATTTGACTGAAAAGCACATCCCTTAGTAACTGAGCAGGCCTGTCTTTGATCAGTTCAGCATGAGAACAGAGGCTCAGCACAGGGAGAAAAGGAAGGAGAGACTGCCCTGTTTGCACTGCATTGCCCTTGGGGTATAGAGGTGTTACAATATTTAGAACCAGACAACAGGGTTCCTGGTATATTAACTGAAGGAGAAAAAATGAGGTCCAGTTTTTTTTTACTTTAGGGTTCACTTTGGACTGTATGGTCTCTCTTAACCTGAGCAACAGATCTGGCTGGCAGGAACCAGAGAGGTCCCAGGTGGGTATCATGCCATGAGAAGGAAACATACAGGTTTTCAGTGTAGGAATAGAGGACTGGTACTTGTAGGTGGAGAATAGAGAAGGCCTAGGGAGAATAGAAAAAGACTAGCAATGGCTGGAGTTGGATACTACCATCTTTTCTAACTGAGGAAAGGCTGCTGTGGAGGCCTGGTTCTAGGAATACTGATTTCCTGGAAAGATGGGAACAGCCCTTGGCAGGGGGTCAGGCTGTTGCTGTTTATGGTTTGTTGGCAGGGGTCAGGCTGTTGCTGTTTATGGTTTGTTGGCTTCTGTAGCCTCCTTCAGGCTCCAACTGCTGCTGGAAATGGGCTCATTGTGAGCTAGGAATGGAGCTTCTGATCCTAACCAGGCTTGCTGGAGCCCTTCAAAGGGAGAAGCTGTGTGGCTGATGTGGGAAGATCAGCATTGATGATAACACTAGAGCCAAGATATTTCTTTGAATGTTTACTAAGCAGCCGGAAGGTGACATACTCCATCCCCAAATCCTAGCTCCTGAGCAAGGAAGGCTGGAGGGGGTGGGGTGGGGTGGGGCCCTACAGACCAAAGAGGAAGTAGAGATAGGGGCTTGACAAGGTACTCACTCCTATCTCTGATCTAGCTGCCTCAAAAATAAGGGAGGCCCAGAACCAACAGGCCACTCCCTTCCAGATTAGATGAGGCCAGCTGGCCTTTGGATACCCCAGGAAGAAGTGGTGGCAGCAGCGGCGTGAGGGATCCCTCTATAATTCCACACACCAGGTCATCTGTACTGGATCAGATGTCCATTTCAAACTGTGCATCATCTGGGGAGAGAAGAGGACAAGTTGCAGGGCTGCGTGCAAAATTTCCAGGTTTAGGGTCAGTGCAGAAAGCCCTTTTGAAATTAAATTCCCATTCTGCTTAGCAGAGTAATTTCTTAGTTTTAGGTCCTGCTTTCCTTACCGGGTATCTCTTCCTCTGTCTCCTTCTGCTCCTTTAGCTCCTCCAGCTTGGAGCGTGGTGCTGTTGGAGTTGTGACCCCGGGAATCTGAGGGAGGCAGCAGGGAGGTGTCCGGGCAATGGGTGAGTTCTTGCACTCCAGCAGGAACTTTCGGTCGTAGGTGATCCTGGTGCCTGTCAAGAGTAGGGGCTCAGGTAAGAGGCAGGAACTTGGGGAAAGAGCTGGTTGGGGCCTCAGGCCTTTTAGGGATCCAAGAGTCACATTTCCCTGTGCATGAAAAGTCTGCTTTCCGTCCCAGCCAGGATCTTGGCTGACTAGCCTTCCCATCACTTAAAAGGTTTATCAGCCTAACCGATGTAGGATTGTGTACCATAAAGCAAGTGGGGTATTCCACCTGCCCCAGGCAGGGGCTTTAGGTTTAGGGTAGCTTCAGGTCTTAGCTATAGGAGGGGCACCAAACTTGGGAGTTCAGGGCCTTAAGGCTGCTCCTCTACCACTCTGCTGCCTCTAGGACTACCTTGCTTTGGTTCACAAGGTGGAGTATAAGCCTCCAGTCTCAGTTGGATCAGGAAGCCAAATAGCAGATATGAAGGTTATCGAGTGCTGCCACCTGTGCTCTAGAGGGGGTGGGGAGAGCTGTGTTTCCGGAACATGGGCTTTCCCATAAAACAGGGACATACTGTTCTCACCTTGACCCCTCCCAAGCCCTATATGGCCCAGCCCAACCCAGCAATACTTGGCCCTTAAAGGGCCCTGCCCAGTTCCCACCCCTCCCCTCCGTCTCCACGTGGCAGGAATCCTGGGTCAAAAGCCCAGCAGGAGCTCGTGATCCCAGGCTGCTCGCCCAACCCAACAGCCGCCAACCAGCCCCTGCCCCCGCTTTGCAAGATGTTACTTCCCGCTAAAGCCATACTCTCTCTGCTGGGGACGCGGTTCCTACTCCCAGACGGCAACGTCGCGAGGGACTGGTGGATAAGCAAGGTGTCCAGAACCCAGGCCACAGAGGGGTTACAGCCCAGATTGACCCGGAAGCAAGGCTCAAAGCCTTGTAGCATCACTTCAAAGTTTTAGGGAACCGGGCCTCGGCTGCGAACCGCCTCCCCTAAAACTACATGCAGTGACTTACGGGCTAGTTCCGAGGCCTGCACCTTCCCGCCTCCGCCCCCGCCCCGCAGGAGTACTGTGGAGCTAGCCTGCCCACTGCCTGTGGACCCCGGCCCGCTGACCTCCCGGTGTAGTGGAGTATAGCGTGCCCCCTGGCGTGGTGCTGTAGCAGTCTGGCAACCGGTCTCGGCCCCCGGGAATCGGGCAGCTTGTGGACGTGGACATAGCGAGAGGAAGAACAGGAAGGCAAGCGGATTGTCCTGAAGATGTGGGGCGAAGCGCAGCTCTGGGTCTAAGGCGGACTCCGCCGACCACGTGCAGCCCCAAGCAACAACACCAGGGCGACGTCACGCCCGGGGCGGGCCGCCCGCCGTCACTCAGCCCGACGGCCCCGCCCCACCCGCGGGGGGAACAGGCCCTTGGCAGGGGAAAGCTAGCATGAGTCCCAGGCCCCGCACAGGCCTCCTCTTCCTCCTAGCCCACCACCGGTGGATGAGCTCTTGAGCCCTGCAGCAACTCAGCTGTTTACTGTTTACTACTGGGCACCAAGGGCAGGTGAGGTAAGGCGGACGGTATTGGCCACGTATTAACTCACCCATTTCTCACATCAGCTTTGGACAGTAAGGCACCACTATTACTCAATTTTGTAGCTGAGGAAACTAAAGCCCAGAGAAGTTAACTCACACATAATGTAGGTCAGGGAGCTTCCTACCTGGGTATATCTGATTCCAGAGCCTGTGCCCTTCAATACAGCTGTGTGTACTGCCTTCCATAAACAACTACAATACCAGGTAAAAAGTGCCTTGATGGCCTGGTGCACAGCTTAAGGAGAAGGTCTGGAGAGAGGATGGGCTTTCTGGAAGAAGTGATACCTGGACAAATTAAAGGATGAGTAAAGGTTGGGGGAACAGCAGAGGCTACAGCTGGGTAGAGAGGAGGTCTGCCCTTTGAGCTCTCTGCCATAGCCAGATGTTCTCAGGAAAGCAATGAAAGGGGAGCTGATGACAAGGGCCTGGAAGGTCAGAGAGTCTGGCTTTGGAAATTAAGATTTTTTGATGTAGGCACAATGATATGAAGAGAGGCAGAAGAGGGGTGGTGAAAAAGTACTCAATATGTACATACTCTGGTAATCTCAAACTGATTCAGTTGTCCTCTGGCTTTCTCAAAATTAATATTGCCCCTCAGCCTCTCCCCAGACACCAAAACCAAACTATTGCTGTTGAGTCGATTTGAATTACAGTGACCCCTCCTTGGGTTTCGAGGTGGTATCTCTATGGAAGTAGGTTGCCCAATCTTCCTTCCAAGCAGTGGCTGGTGGGTTTGAACCGCCAGTCTTGCGGTTAGCAGTCAAATGCCTTAGGCACTAGGCCACCGGAGCTCCCTAGCCCCTCCCCAGCCCCTTCAAAATGAACCGCTTGACTGTATGTATTTATCACCTCAGCTCTAAGGAGTACTGGTGGTGCTATGCTTAAAGGTTCAGTGGGAAAACTAAAGGCTGGCAAAACAGCCATTCCTTGGGAGAAAAACACTTGGTGATCTGAATCCATAAAGATTATAGCCTAGTAAACCCTATGGGACAGTTCTAGTCTGTCATATAGGGTCACTGGGTAAGTCCAAATCAACTCGATGGCATATAACCACCACCTTAGCTCTGACTTCATCAAACAGTCCTTTACCCCTAACTTCCTCACTCATTAAAAAAAATAACAGTAATTGTATTTTATAACCTATTGCTTCTCAATCTTTAATATATATATGAATTACCTGGAGAACTTGTTAAAATGAAGATTCTGACATAGTATGTCTTGGGTGGGGCCTGAGATCTAGACTTTCAATAAGCTCCCAGTGGTGCAGATTCTTTAGGTCCTTGGCTCACACTTCAAGCAAGGGTATATATAATCGTTCCAAAAGGCTTTTGAGCCTCTTACGAAGTGGTACATGCCTAAATGAAGTGTCTTGAGGTGCTGGAGGGTAAGGCTTGGGAATAAATTGTGGAGAGCCATCTATGATGATTCAGCCGTTAAGCAAGGTAATTAGTCCCATGCAGAGAGTAGAGATGGGGTGAAGGTCTGTGAGACTGAAGGTGGGGACTACAGCTATGAAATGGGTTAGGCAAAAAGGCAGTGGCTATGGGAATGGGGAGAAGTGGATGGGATCTAGATACACAGAAGAGGAAGGATAAGGTGTGGGATGAGAGAGAGGGAGGATAAACTAGGATAATTTCCAATTTTCTGGCTTCAGAGTGTTGGTGATTAGTAGTACCATCTAATATAACACGGAAAACAAGAGAAGGGGCACATGTTATATTGGGGAATGTATAGTGTGTGTGGAATGCTCAAATGGAGCAGCACAGTGAAGAGCTAGATCTACTTGTCCTGAAGCTTAGGGGAAAAGTCTGGGCTAATGATACAGATTTGGGTGGCGTTAAATTCAAGAGTGTGGGATGAGATCACCTAAGGGCAAGATCCAGTGCAAGAAGCAGCCTGTACACATTGGTATTTATTTAAAGGTTGGATGGAGTAAGTTGTTAGTCGCTGTCAAGTTGGTTCCAACTCATAGTGACCCTGTGTGCAGCAGAACAAAACACTGCCTGGTCCTGTGCCATCTTCACACTCATCGCTATGCTTGAGCCCATGGAGTAAGAGGAGTCACCAAAAGAGATTGAGGAAGACCACTCAGAGAAGTGGGAGAGAACAGTGTCAAAGAATTTCAAGGATCAGTGTGAAAGTGAGAACTTCCTTTTATTAATTTCTGCCACAAAACAACATCCTCAGTTACTACTGCATGCAGCTAATTTTTCTTGAAACACTATATGCTATAAGGGCTGGAGATCTAGAGAACAAATATCTGGCTTTAGAGAGAAAGTCAGATTCCTTATCCATTTACAAAAAGCATTCAAGTCAGAGAGTCAATACTAATTACCCATTAGACCATGGGAAGTTTTAAAATAATACCTATGCATGGGCCCCACCTACAGAGATCTGATTTAACTGGTCTGAGGTAGGCTTGGCTCTTGTATTTTATTATTATTATTATTTTAAAGCTCTCCAGATTATTCTCTGAGGGTAGCCATGATTGAGAACCCTTGATTCAGGTGAAGGGATATTGTTAGATGCCATCAAGTAAGCTCTGACTCACAGCGACCCTATGAATAACACAACAAAACACCGCCCAGTCCTGTGCCATCTGCACAATTACTGCTATAGCTGAGCCCACTGTTGCAGCCACTGATCTCGTTCAGGGTCTTCCCCTTTTGCACTGACCCTCTACCAAGCATGATATCCTTCTCCAGGGACTGGTCCCTGTTGATAACGTGACAAAAGTATGAGAGATGAAAAACTACTAGGCACAATGAAGGAAATCAGGAAGAGAGATACAAGGCAGAGGGTTATTTCCAGTTGAGTATTATGTTGGGAGAAACCTATGAGGGAATGAATACCTGTAAGGTCTCTGTTACCAGGGAAAATTGCTTTGTGCTCATATCAATACCATCAAGGTAAAATAGGAGGTGAAAAGTAATTACAAAATAAATTTGCAATTATATCTTTTGTTTCATCATCCTGTTTTCCAAGTTATGTCTCAAAGCCCATATTCCTGCCCTATACTGGAGGTAGTCCTAATACACTTGTTTTGGGTGATTAAAACCACTGTTCTCTGACTCATTTCCAACAGGAGATATTAAAGATGAAGGAACTTGCCTTTACCAGTAGGCAAATGATGACAGATTTTTGAGCATGAATAGAAAATGCAGTATTATCAGAACTCCTTACCCCAGGACAAGGTCAACTAGGAAGATGTCACAACCAGACATACTTCTAGGAAGAAGAGATCTAGGGCTAGTCAGAGAACAAGATATTCAGAAGTTGTTTTCCTACAGGCTTGTTTGCCTTTTCCTGGGTTTACAATGTGGTCCAAAGGTCTTAAACAGTGGGACAGAACCACATATACTAGAGTACTCTGTTGTTTGATTTGAAACTATAATACCAGCATTTCCCTTTCCATAAGCTAATTTCAATGTGAGGATGGTTCCCTCATGCACTAGTTTTGAGGTTTGGGAGGATTTGATCAAAATCTATATACAGATGGAAACAGCAGTTCCAAGTCCTAAGATTTCTTACCTCAGGTTAGGAGAGGCCACCATTGGCTGTCCAACTCTCTTCTTTGGTCTGGTTAGCTGAGGTGATGGGATTTCCCCTTTGAGAGCAGGGACTGAAGGAAGCAGACTGGCCTATAAAAGGGCAAGTCAGCACACTGTAGCCACAATAGGTTTATAGGGTCTTAAAACAGTAGTTTTATTGATGGTAGAATTTTATTACATTGAACATTACTTGAAATAAGTGGATCAAAAAATCTTGACAATACAGTTTTATTCCTTGAAAGAGTTACTATTGTCATGGGGTTTGAGCTATGCCTCAGCAGGATGTTTCTTAATGATTTGAGGGCTCACTATGGATGTGAAGGGTTTTCTTCTGCCACAACTAAAATCTCAAAATTAATACTGGCCCCACAGCAGGCTTTTGATTCCATGTCAGAATCCATGTTAGGGGTTTCAGACCTCAGCACTGAAGATATTCTAATAACTTCCACTCTTCTTGGACCTTATATTCTCATTCACAAGAAAAAAAAGAAAATCTATGTTAGGGTTAAGAGGTCTCTTTTGAGTTCATTTAAGTTCAATTTTGTTTTTAGATGAAGAAAATCAAGCTCAGAAAGGTGAAGTGACTTGACTAAGGTCATACAGTTTTCAAGTGGCAGAAATGAAAACAGAACTTAGACTTCTGACTCGTATTCCACTGTACCCATGACTGCCTCCCCTCCCAGATCCCTTGTATATTTTTAAAGTAATTAAATTCTTACCTGAGCTAGGTTTTATCCAACATTCAGGTTGGCAAATAGCAGTAAAGTAATGCCAGGAAGAGGCAGGTAGAGGAAGATGAGATTGTAGCAGACGAAATGGGGTGGGGAGTATGCTAGGGGATCCAAATAGTCAGAAAGAAAGGAAGGCAGTGCTGGTTAAGGACAAGGGAGAGGGGTATCCTAAAGAACTCCCAACTGCACAGCTCCTGTTTCTTCCTAATCCTCCTAGAGTTTTTTCATAATTGCCTCCTTCTCATCTCATGGATTCTAGGTCCTGAGATAAAGTTTCTCATTTTATTGTTCTCAAGGTGCAGAATATAGGTTTAGGGGCTCCTCCAAAAATTCCAGATGTAGTGTAGATAGTTAAGATAGAACAAAACTCGCCTTTTGTTCCATTGAATAGTTTGTTTAATAATATTTCTCACTAGTGCAGTTCAT